GGGCGGAGACCTCCTCGTGCTCCGGCTCCCCCCTCACTGCCCTCGGTTGTTTTGAGACAGGATGAGCTGTCTAGACCAGAGAGGCTTGGAAACCCTGGAACTCCTTGCCCCTGAGTATTGCGATTGGAGGTGAGCTAACTCCGTCCCGCTAACTCTGGCTTGTAACGTTCCTCCCCGCAGGGCTACTACTTTGATCGGGATGACGTGGCTCTGGAGGGTGTAGGCCACTTTTTCCGCGAACTGGCGGAGGAGAAGGGCGAGGGTGCCGAGCGTCTCCTCAAATTCCAGAACGACCACGGCGGCCGTGCTCTCTTCCAGGATGTGCAGAAGCCATCTCAAGATGAGTGGGGTAAAACCCAGGAGGCCATGGAAGCTGCCTTGGCACTGGAGAAGGATCTGAACCAGGCCCTCTTGGATCTTCATTCCCTGGCTTCCGGTTGCACAGATCCTCATCTCTGTGGTTTCCTGGAAAAGCCACTTCCTGCAGGAGAAGGTGAGGCTCCTAGGCAACTTAAATGCCTATGCGTATCAAGAAGTTGGAAAATGCAGTAAGAATTCAGTCCACAGGACTGCTGAGATTTGGGGGAGGCAGGATCTCACGATGTAGGCCAGGTTGCCTCGGAATGTAGAGATCCGCCTTAACCCTTGGTGGGGTTAGACATGGGCCATAATGCTTGTCCACCGTGCCCACTTCCCTGTGTAGGCAGTTTTATCCTCAGCTGGGTGAAGGATGAAAACCTAGTTCTGAAACATATTCTCTGTGCAGAAGCCATCTCAAGATGAGTGGGGTAAAACCCAGGAGGCCATGGAAGTTGCCTTGGCCCTGGAGAAGAACCTGAACCAGGCCCTCTTGGATCTTCATTCCCTGGGTTCCGGTCGCACAGATCCTCATGTAAGTTCCTTGCTAATCCTTTTTTCCCTTATTTGACTAGCCATGGCTATCCATATTGGCTTTGAGCTCTCAGTAATATGGCCTGCCTCAACCGCCTGAGTGCTGTGGTAATAGAATTATACCCAGTGTTTACCTACCCGTGGACAGAGTTTTCTACTGAGCTTCCTGCTCACACCTGCCTCTGACAACTGCTTCCTTTGCAGCTCTGTGATTTCTTGGAAAGCCACTTCCTGGATGAGGAGGTGAAGCTCATCAAGAAGATGGGCAACCACCTGACCGACATCCGTAGGGTGGCTGGCCCCCAGCCAACGCAGACTGGCGTGCCCCAGCCATCTCTGGGCGAGTATCTCTTTGAGCGGCTCACTCTCAAGCATGATTAGGAGGCCTCACCTTCCAAGGGGCACCCTCTGCTTTGCACCAGCCAGCCTCAGGACCTTCACCCGAACCACTAGACAGCTTTGTAATCGCACTGGAGCCCCTCTCAGGTCTTGGACCAAGAAAAAAATAAAGCTCTTTGAAACAGCAGCTGGTGATTTTTCTATACTTGTGAGGGTATCTCAGGGGAAAGAAAAGTTTGGCCCTGCTCTTGTTTTCTATGGGAACCCATGTCTAGAGGAATCTCTACCTACAAGGTGCTCACACTTGGCTTTCTCAGGTCATCCAGGTTCTGAGTCTGTTGTGGTCCTTGGTTTATTTTGTTGCTGTGCAGGGGAGTGAGCAGAGGTCCCGACAGGCAAGCTCAAATGAGCTGCCAACCCTATTACTGAGAGGGTGTTAGACTAAACATACAAATAGAAGGTGGGTAGGATTGGAAGGTTGAACCCTGGCTTCTATGAAATGCCAGTGCAAGGCATGCTATGCTGGGAGGGTGGGGCAGCCAGAGTCACAGGGTGTCCACTGGATGCTGAGCTAGAGGTTGGGCCCATCAAAAAGGATGTGAAATTGGGTCCAAATAGAAACTAAAACTAAGCCAAGGAGTTAGTCATGGTGGGAGGGGTTGGGGACACTGGACAACACTGCTGTGTCAGCTCAGACCCTTTAACATACAAGGGCTGTATGAAACCACATGACACATCCTTAGATCAGCACCTTGCCATTGCACTGTGGGGAGACTCATGATTTTGTGGGTAAAGTAGTCATGTGGGCAGGAAAATAACCTGTACCACATGACTGGTTGACCCCTAGTAGTCGTTTAGAGGGAGAACTCAGTCATGTGGTGAGGTCTGGGAACCTGGTAAAGCAAATCTGATGATATAAACCAATATTGCTGAAAAACAGGTTTAAGTTTTTGGCCAAGTCCTGGGGCTAGAATCTGTTCTCTTGTTTGCCTGACAACCTGTTTAACCACACCCCTAGATTGCTTTTGACTTTTTGAGGCTGGGTCTTGCCAAATTACCCAAGCTGGCCCTAAGAACTCATTACGGTTAAGGTGGGCTTTGAACTTTGGATCCTTTGCTGTGTGCACCTGTGATTTCCCAGTGTGTGTCTTCCACCTCAGCCACCTTCTACCCAAGAACAGGACTGGAGTCCCAGAACAGTAATCCAAAGCTTTCCACAGAAACACAAGACAAGACCATGGAGCAGGCAAGAGCAGAATTAAAACCAGGAAGCTGGGACTCCTGGTGTGTGTAAATTCCAGTGGCTGAGGCAGGACTGCTAAGAATTGGAGTCACCATGGGGTATGTGGCAAGATCCTATCTGTAAAAACTAAATTTAAGAATAGAAATTTGGGGAAGTAAGGAGGGAGACAAACCACACACAAGAGTTCATGTCCTGCTACACTTGCAACTCTTAAATACAGGTATATTTTTTTCATCTCTGGACACACTCCAATCACACACCTTCTGCCCTCCCCCTCCAAATGCAAACCAAGAAGGGCCTCAGGCCAGACACAGAACACGTGA